GATCCATCTCCGGAGGTGCTACTCTTCAGGCTATCTGGATGCAGCTGCAACTTGCCGACGGCGGTGACGGCGATGACGACTTCGATACGATCGATCTGACTCTCGTCCCTGCGGTCACTGATGGCGCCCAGGCCGATATTCAGAAGTTCTACGACGCTATCTCAGCCTGCTCAGATCTTCACCCCGACCCTGTCGACGAGGATGATGAGGAAGAGGACAGCCGGATCATTTTCGAGGGCGAGCATGAGCCAGTTGAGGGATACGAAGGAGTCTTGTACGGCGCCGCCGATGGAGGCCTGCCTCCTGCCTTCCCTGGTAGCGGAGGCTGGATTACAGCCGAGAACGTCCACGAGCACTTCGACGCCGACGGCAACTGGATCGGTCAGAATGGCAATGAGGATGAGGAAAGCGGCCAGCTTGGAGAGGGAGCAGGTCGGGTTCGCGGTCACGATGAGGCCAACAACGGCGTCAATGGCCATGACGACCCGGGCAATAAGCGCCCGCGGGTCGACGAATCATAGGTGCATACTGCGAATGAGGCTTGGGAGTTTACGAGGGACGACTTGATACCATGGATAAGACTCGGGCTCATAAAACCGACGTAAGAATACCATTCTTTTTCGCATAAAATCCCAATCAACTATTAGGTTTTAGTTTGGAGGGAATATGGTTTTCTTTTGTGGTATAATTCGTTGATTTGAGTGATGCTTGTATCTGAATTTTGCTAATGGCCTACTGCCTAGGTATTACAATGACGCCGTGCTCAGCTTAGAAATATTCAATCCTGAAGAAAGTGCTCGCTAACCGTCGCTGAACGCAACACCCCTTAATCAATATGGATCACTATGGGACAAAAGAAAATTCCCCAGACTCTGAGACTCAGACCCTCATGTTTGGGCTCTGTCTTTCAGCCCCTGCAGTGAGGCTGTCTGGGGAGCTTAACAGGTAGTCCTCTTTCCCGTACGCACCCAAGCTGGTACCGCTATCTTGATGCTTGATCGGCCTCTCCAGACGCTTCTGGTCTTCGGTATCGACGCTGGAGATTCTTCTCCTCGTGGGACTCTCCACAGTCACTACGCTGTCTCTAGCCAACCCTCGTCCGGCACTTCTGGGTGTCGGGTTGAGCGGCCGGGGGCCTCGAATCAGAGAACCGTTTCTTCTCTCATTTTCCTTTTCTTCAACTGCAGCGCGTAGCGAATCAAGATGCTTGTTTCCCCCTGGTCGGCTCTTGAGCACGGCGATTGAATTTCTAGCCGATTTGATGGACTTGGTCCGCTTCGCTGAGCCTGGGCTCGTGCCTAAAGACAAGTAGTTTTGTCGACCCATTTTGCTTACGCGACTGTTGCTCCTGTCGGGGCTGAACCCGCCTCCTCTCAAGTTTGGTAGTGTCGGACTATCCGGATCCGAAATAGATGAACCGGCGCTGAAGGTACTCATTTGGCTATTCATTCGCCGAAGCTGAGCCACGGTTGACTGAAGCCCCATTACCGCGAAGTCGCGATGGTATGAGTTCCGCTTGGGTGAGCTGGATGGCTTCAGCACGATCGAAGGGCAATCAGAGCTCGAGAGAACGCGCTCGACGCGGGATTCTCTTGGCGTCGGCTGTCTGGACAATGCACGGTCACGAATTGGACTAGCCATCCCACGCTTATATCGCCTTGGTGTCGGAGATCCTCCCTTTGACAGGTCGGGGCTCGGCAGTGGTCTTCGAGTTGGCGAGCTAGGAACGGGAGATGCGGCGGAGTCGGTCGATTGACGACCAGCACGACCTGGAGGGGAAGGGCTGCCGCGTGATGGCGATATTTTTCCGCCTGGGCTACCCATTCTCAAGGCCTCTCGGTTTGGTGATCCCAGGCCAGCTTTCAAGGCCAAGGGCGGTGGGAAGACAGGTGCCTTTGGGCCGAACGTCAACCTGTTATTCGGCATCGCTGGCCTGCTGCCATTGTCCTCAGGAGACGTGCCAGGGCTGGCTCTCATGCTCACAACGCTGTTACTTGAGACGAGGAAGACGGGCTTCATCGACATGACGCTCTTCGGGCGAATGGTCTCAGGCGATGCTGCCAGGTCGGATGGTTGCATCATGATGGAGTACCGCGTCTGGAGTTGGTCGGCCGTGCTGCTGCGCTTGATGACGTCCAACGGTCTTGGTATAGGAGAGTTGGCAACAGATGTCACCTTTGTAGGTGTTCTGTTCAGGATCTCCTCTTCGGGTGGCGTCATGCGTCGGAGAGGCGGCAAGCTGGAAGACTGGCGTTTGGGGCTCCTTGGAGGCACTTCTGGCGGGCCTGGTGTGATGAAAGGGTCACATATTTGAGTATCGATGAAAAGGCTCCTGGGTTTCCTGCCGCGGGGGGTGCTGTCTGCGTGTCCAGTACCGCCGGTCTTGCTGTCATCCTCGGGTTCGTTAACGCTATACAAGGTTGACAGAGACGATGAGGCATCGCTGCCAGGAGATTCTATCGATGCGCCGTTGTCGGTGGGCTTGGTCGGGGACTCATGCTCGGATCGTCTGCTGGGGCTCGAAAGTCCTGTTGGCAAGATGTGTTCAACTTCCGGGGTCGTTTCGCCAAACAGACTATCCGCATCTGAGACAGCCGAAGACTGTGAAGTGTTCCTATTGTGGTGGTTTGGAGTCTGGACAAGCATTGGAATAACCATTCGCTTCGACGGGCTGGGTGTTCGAGCTCGCTGGGCGTTAAGGTCCAACGCCTGGCCAACGTGTGACAGCACTTGAGTCTTTGCCGGAGATCGTGACCGGACAGGCGACTGGTTCTTGACTGGTGACGGGATCTTGATCGGTGACTGAGCCTTAATGGGAGACTGCGACTTTGTCGGCGACCCTCGCGGTGTCTTGACGCTGGACCCAGCTGATGCCGATGCAGCCCTCTGTCGTGTGGCCGGCCGGCTATTTGTTGGTGTCCCGAGCTGCAGTCTCTCTTCCGTAGAACGCAAAATCTCAGCCAGATCCGACTCCGTCGTCTTGTGCCGCAGCCGTTGCAACGGCACCGGTCGAGGTACCGGTCCCTGTGGGGTTGGAAGTACGGGCGGTCCCCCCCTCGCCGCAGCCGCCAGCTTCTCGGCCAGCTCGTACGATGCCGTCCTCGGCAACGGCATCCGCAAAGGCTGGCCACGCTGTGCCGGCATGCTGACCGGCCGAGGCTGTTCAATGGAGTAGTTTACACAGTCGTCGTCGAAATGACCATCCCCCTCGCCCTTGTGCCCGAACAGATCCGGTAACGTCGGCGTGCGTAGTATGAAGCTGTCGCGGATACTCAGCCGCCGACCATCACTCTGCACTCTGGGCCCGTGAATCGCATCCTCGTCAATCCAGCTATTATTCCTTCTCAGGTGTCCTCCACGCTGCTGCCCGCCAGCACCTTCCGAAGGCGTGCTGCTGAAGACGCTCCAGCTCTTGCTCCTGGGCACGCTGATGATGGACGAGAGGGAGCGGTGGGGAGGCTGCTTCTTCCCCTGGACCTCGACCATGTCCGCGTACGGCTCGCCCGGCTTCGGCTTCGTGAGGCGCCGCGGACGCGGGCTGGGCGTGCGGATGGAGCCGCCATCCGAGTCGAGGTCGAGTCTTGTTCTGGGCGTCGTCGATCGGGCTCGGGCGCGGGCTCGGTGGCGGCGGCCTGCTAGGGCGATGAGGAAGAAGGCGAGGCATATGAAGAGGAGGACGCCGCCTCCTATGGCGATGGCGAGAACGAGTGGTAGGGTCATGCCGCCGCCGCCGCCGCTTCCGCCCCCTCCCCCATCTACCTCCTCGCGGATGCGGAGTAGCAGGCTCGACATCTCCGGGAAGAGACTGGGATGTTGTGATATGGTTGTGTGGGTTTGGTGTTCTGAAGACGAGATCTAATGGTTGACTGAGGGACTGAAGGTGATGAGATCACTGGCCAGATATCGGGTCTCTCATGGTGTGAGTGTGTTCTCGGGTATTCACAGTCGGCTTCCCCCTTCTTTCGTCTTCTGTGTTACTCTCTCCAAATATTCGTATTAGGGATTAGATTAGGAAGAGTTAAGAAAGATGGAAAGTGAACAACGGTCTGGTGAGCACTTCTGGCAAATGGTAAGTAGTGTGTAAACAAGTGTAGGAAAGAATGAGAACCAAATCCAGAATAGTAAGAACACTCGTACAGAGCGAAAGAGAGGAGATTGAACACGGCCTGGAGGTGAATCACGAGGACGAAGAAAAGATGGATGACACGGATTTCCGCCTCACAAAATGGAAATGGCTGGCAGCATACCTCTGCCTCAAAGGGTCCTTTCGTTGCGGCGCTGCCCAGACCCAACCAACCGCCATCCGTGATGATGACTGTAGCCATGTTTGGTTTTTTTGTTTGGAAAGGGTAATCGAGTGGTGGGTTGAGGTCTCAGTCTAATCTAGCCACCGGGAATGCGTTGTCATCCCGTCGTCCTGGGGAATGCATTCCAATGGAAGGGAGGAGGGCAAAATCCTCCTTGGGTACTCACGTCCTCGTCTTCGGCCAGTCACCCATCCGAAGTCGACCTTACACGCAGAACAGGGCTAGAAGCGAGGATCAGCAGAGGTGGTGCTGCGGGAACGTGAGGTAATATGAATTTGCCGGGTCGGCGGGGTGGCGACGCGTGAGTTTTGGGAATAGCTTCGTGGGCTGCTGGTATGCGCGAGGCGGGTAGCTGGGCAGCGGGTTTAATCAAATGCGAGATGAGATTGCGTGCTATCGGCAGAGGTAAACAAGGTCGTACATAACACCGTTGCGTTTTCTGGTATTTTGTGAGAAAGTTTTCCATGGTGGATGTTTTCATGTTATCCATCGGCGCTGAACATAAATCAACCAGCTTTTCTCGATTCAGGAGTCGCATCATGGCTCATTGTGCGGTTTCTTCTCTGCAGAATCATCGCAATTGACGTCTATTCTGCCCCTTGCATCTGCGACCCAATAGACTCTTGAACACGCCCCCGAACCCAAGTGACCAACCCATCCCTGCCCCCTCGGGCCGGATCCCTTTCTCTTCCATCATCCCCGTGCCGCCCTCTTCACGCACTTGACCTCGTTGATCCTCAAAGCAGCCGTATCGTGACTCTGCAGTTCCACGATGTACTCGTCCTCAAACACGCCGAGATCCTTGCCAGTCCACATGTCGTGCACAACATACTTCTTCCCGGCCTCCAGCCCAGGAACATCCTTGAACGCGACCGTCTTTTTCTCGGTGCCGCTCAGCGTGTTGAGCACAAACACGTGTGTCCCCTCCACTGAAGCCCCGGACCAGAATTCGGCAGGGTGCGTAATGTTCCACGCTCCGTCCGGGTTCAGCCCCCACTTATACGGCTGCGCCGCGGCCCCGAACTCCGGATCCTGATTGAATTTCACCAGCTCCTTCGTGGACAAGATTTGCAAAATCTCGGGCTGAATGCCCTCCAACTTTGTCCCGATGATCAACGGACTCTTCAGCGCGGCCCAAAACGCGAAATGGCTCCTGCTCTCCTGCAGCGTCAGGTTCCCGTTGCCGACCTCGAGCATGTCCCAGTCCCCGTGGCCCCAGAACCCGTTCACGTCGGGACCGCTCCAGAAGGCAGCGTGATTCAAAATCGGCATGAGGCCCCAGGACCACTGGTGCTGGCCGTACCACTCTGGGTAAATGTCGCCCCACATGCGCCAGCTGTGGCCCGTCTCGTTACCCCAGGCCTCGACGTGGGCGTGGCCCCAGGCGCAGAGGGAGTACTGGATCGTCCTTTCCTGGGCTAGGAGGGCGTCGCGCATGATGCGATAGCGTTCTGCTGTCAAGGAGGTCGACCAGTCGTAGCCTGCGGGGGCCGGGAGACCCGTCTTGGAGTTGACGGGGTCGCCGTTGTCTTGGTTTTCGTTGGGGGGTCCGCCGAGCCAGAGTTCGGGGACGTATTTCCAGTCGTCGAACCATTCTTTCGGGACGTTGCAGTTGTCGTACTTTAGGTCTGTGGAGAAAGTGAATTGCCTGTTAGAACGTTGATCCGATAATGTGTTTTGCGATGAGTCTAAGGGACGATGGAGGGGTTTGGAGGGGTTAAGTTGAGGGATGACGTTGACGCAGGGAGAGTGGAACGGTGAACGGTGATGGAACTTACAGTCGATACCCCATTTCGCAAACGTGGCGGCGTCGATTTCTTCGTAGCCTAGCGATCCCTCGAAACCACCGCAAGTAGAAGTTCCTATGATAGTTGCGTCAGCACGTTGTCGCAAGACCGAACACTAGAGCATCCAGCATTCTCGCAACATGGATCACAACCAACGGCCTTCACGAAGTCCTCGCGCAACTTGGCATCCTCAGCAATACCAAAGACGGCAGAGATTCAACTCACCCGCATCACTGTAGATCCCAACCTTCAACCCCAACTCGTGGATCTTATCCACCGTATGCTTGATCCCCTGCGGAAACTTCACCTTGTCGACAACGATCTCCTTGGTGACGTTATCCCTCCGCAGCTTCTTGTCGCTCCAGCAGTCGTCAATGTTGACGTACTCGTACCCCAGATCCTTCAGCCCCAAGTCCACAATGTGCTGCGCGACAGTGAGGAACACCGTCTCGTTGATGTCGCACCCGTACTCGTTCCACGAATTCCACCCCAGCGCGGGAAGACGGCCGGTCTTGCCGTCGCGGCTGACAAGTGCCGCGGCCGTAGAGGACAGGCCTACGGCGGCGAGGATGGCCGAGCGCATTGCGAATACGTCGAGGGGTTCCAACTTATGGCAGGTCTGGTATCGAAGGCTCTCAGTTATCGCGACCTCGCTACAGAGCTGTACTTTCTCCACAAGATTTGCAAGACGATGCTGGAGAAGAGCTGAGCCGGCGGGATGAGAAAGAAGGAACCCGAAAAGTGGCTTTGAGGGATCATATAGACGGGAAGACAAACATCCTAGACGCATGCAACATGATCTGCCAACTTCATCGTACCCACCACCATCCCATCCGACAACCCCTCAGTCGTATCGAACGCGAAGTGGAAGAATGCAACATACCCCAAGTCCATCCCAGTTCCATTGCTGGGCATGGGCGGATGGCCACGCGGTGGCCAAGAATAAGGTGACAGCGCCGATCGCCGTTCTTCGCTCACGACGCATCTTGGGCCGGTTATTCCAAAATCCTGGGCCCATCGCGTAAGGTTACTGTGGAAGGTAGATGATCCAAAGTTGATCTAGAGACGAACCCTGCCGGCCAACCCGCCGTTTGTAGTGACACGGAAAAGCTCAACGCCCCCTCACGAATCTAGGTTCGTTGGACCAGGCCGTGAGGGGGAACCTCAAAAGAAACAAAATACTCTTCAATTGTTGGTGGGCTGCCACCGTCACATCCAGGAGAAATACGACGCCATCAACGGTGAGGCCCCAGATGCGCGGAGGATCGCCGTCCGAAGAAAGATGGGGCCGCGTGCATGACAAGAATGAGGGGAAAGCTCAAATCCTTGGAATAGTCGCCCAACGACAAGAGGCCAATTCCGCCTGTTCGTCCAAAGTTGGAGAATCCTAGCCAGACACGGAATTCTCGGGCCAGTCCACCATGGCGGGGTTGTGTTTGTTGGGCGTGGGTGGCATGCAGCTTCTAGAAGCACGTTGGTAGGCAACCTTGGTCTCGCCTAGTGTCGCTACTCTCAACTACCCTTCATCCCACTCGAGATCTGCAGACGGTCATGGTGATTTTGATTGTTTGTTGGAATCACCTGCAAATTGTTCCGAATAAACATAGATTGTGGGACAAATGCTTCGGTGAACTCCCTCTGCGATGGTGTTTATTGCTTGCCTCTCAGTTTGGGATGAATTAGCCCAATAATGTCTTAGTCTAGAGACTCATACAACGCCTGGGTGACATTATTAGCTGTAAAACTTCTGAAAATTAGTTGCTAGCCGGAGCCGTTGTGGTAGAGAAATCTTTAAAACCCATTCTGAGCAATTTTGGCATTGGTGAGGTGGGGTTCTCAGGAGGAAAAAAGTCATCTTCTCACCGACCGCCAGGCGATCCGGAGTGATTATCGCCGTTTGAACAAAAATATATAGCTTTGCATTCTTACTTACAAGCGTGCGGACTCAAATTATAGAGAAAGAGGTCGGGGGTAAGACAAGCATGAGGAACGCCAAGGGCCACAACCTTCATGTCAGCAAACGGGGGTGTCATCGACAACCGGACTTATTGATAACTCCAGCCATGCTTAGATTGTCACCTGTTATGGCGCTACGTATATACTCAATAGTTCTGCATAATACCTTCTAGATAATGATGACAACCACTTTGCTAGGTTTCCTTTAACTCGCCGATCTCCCGGGTCCTCCACCATAGCTTAATTCCAAGAGTTGCTAAGCCCAGAGGTGGATCATCTAGATAACTTCGTTGCCCCCGACAAGCTCTCGTTTGCTTCCGCAATACTACGAAGCGAATTGATCCGCCCCGAAGATGCCGTAAGTGGTAGAAGATGGAAGCTCGAATGAGGCCGTCGTAAGGGTGATTGTCTTTTGATGACCAAAATGGCTGATACAGTTTCTCAGATCAAGAAGCATTCGTCATCTAGGCAGCATGTGTTCAACAGCGAGGAGACATTGGCGAGCGGCACGTCCTTCCCATCCTACCAGACACATGGAGCTTTGTTTTGGCTTTCCATTGATATTCTTGCCGCACCGCAGAAATTCAGTCGTAGTTCCTGGAATTACAGCCATTGATTGAATCTGCCTCTGCGAGGCATTTCATCTCACTCACTAAGCATTAATATAGCCTCGAGGTGACGTACTCTCACGGCAAGTCCGATTGTCCCTTTAGTACATGTAGTTACTCTCCATATGTACCCCATAATGGGAAGCCAATGTGATTATTGATAGACTGGGTCTAGCATAGATTCTCCAGTGACAAAAAAGTAGTAACGGGACCGAAGGCTAACAAGATACCCTCTATGGTTCGGCAAGTTCTGAACCAATTATTAGGCTCCGTCCCTAGGGGCCTCCTCGTAGGAAATCCACTTTCGGATACTTCCGCCGTAACGTCATGTTGAAACCAGAAGGAGGCAAATTGGTGGTAGTTCCCTTTTTTGAAATTGATCTGCATGTAGCGAGTTATGTTCCCGATTCAATGTCACCTGCCAAGTTGGATGAACAAGGCTCAGTCATCGCTTTTTCTTCTTCTTTCTTGGGCACTCCGAGGCCAAGCGTTTATATTCCTCTTCAATCCCCAAGGATCTTGTCAGCAAGGGACATAATCTCCATACCGCCGAAAATCATCAGCAATCCCAATATGCTGTCCCGTACGAGGTCTCCGACTCTCTGTGTGGTGTCAGCGTTCTGATATTGACAACTCGAATTTTCCGCTGCACCTCAATGGCGGCCCTCCGATAGAAGGACCCAGAACTCAGAAGTATAAGATCTGCGGACAGCCGTCGCCATGTATCTTTCTCGATCCGCGAAGTATTCAAGTTGTGAAGATGCACCCTACCGGACTACTCACCCCTTGCCTCCTAGCCGGCTCCGCCGCTGCCATTGGCGTACCAGCTGCAGCAGCCGAAATCCCAACCGACTGGCATCTAAAAAGATCACAGCTTGCCGCACCAGTCTCAGCGTCATGCGTGCAAGCCGTAAGTTTTCCAAACCTTTCTTTTTATAGGTCTATCTTCTATCTTCCAGAAACGGCACATGAAGCTGAGGATTTCTCTTTCCATCAAACCAGTGCGCCCAGCTCTCCGCCACATTCCCTCCCTCCCGCTTCCACTACCCAGAAAACGACACAACTTTTGCAATCTGGGACGCCAAACAGCAAGAAGTCCGCCCAGCATGCCGCGTCGAACCCATCACCGCGCCCGACGTCTCCCTCATCCTCAAGACCCTCGTCGATAGTTGGTGCCACTTTGCCGTCAAGGGCGGCGGCCACTCACGTAACGCGGGCGATTCCAACTCCATTGCCGGCGTCACTATCGACCTCGACCGCATGAACTCTGTCGAAGTCGTCGGTAACGGCACCGAAGCCCCCACGCGTGCTAGGATCGGTGGTGGCGCGACGGTGATTCAGGTCTATCAAGCTTTCGAGGGGAGGCAGTTGTCCTACGTGGGTGGCCGGTCCGCGACTGTTGGTATCGGCGGGTTCACGCTCGGCGGGGGAACGTCGCCTTTCTCGAGTCGGTACGGTTGGGCTTTGGATAACGTTTACGAGTACGAGGTGAGTTGAAACATAACACCCTGTCACATTTTGCATTCCTTCTCGCCCCATCAGAAAAGCCAGGAGAGAACAAAACATCACTAACAAGCTCACCGAAAGGTCGTCCTTGCAAACGGCACAATCACAACAGCCTCAGAAACAAGCAACCCGGACCTCTACTTCGCCCTCCGCGGCGGCAGCAACAACTTCGCCATCGTCACAGCCTTCACCGTCCGCGTCTTCCCCCAAGATGCCGTATCCAGCCAGCGCGCAACATACACCTCCGCAAACACAACCGAGCGTGCCCTCGACGCCATCCACGACCTCTTCACGAACCCCCAACTCACCGCCGACATGGACATGGCCTATGACTTCTATTATATGTACAACCAGGCCTCGGGCGCCTTCTCGCTCATGGGGTCGGAGTGGTACGCTGACCCGGCGGTCGCAGAGCCGGCGGTCTTCAGGGCTATTCGTAGTGTTCCCTCGACAACGAGGACCGCGAGGTTGGGGTCCATGGCGAATCTTACTGGGACGCTGCAGCCGCCTATCTTAGGTACCACGCGGTATGTCTTACTGTTTCTGTTTATTTCTTCACCATGTTCTGAAGTCCCTATTTCATTCACCTACTAGGACTGCAAGAAACGTGCTGACTATCAATGTCTCCCTCTCAGCCACCTCTTCGGCACAATTAGCACCCTCCCCTCTCGAGCCCTTCTCACCCAGGCTTTTGCAATCTTCAGAGAAGAAGTCTCAGCAATCTCCAGCGTCGAAGGCCTGGCCCCGAACCTCATCTGCTACCCTCTCTCGACGACCGCCATCCAGGCGATGAAGCAGCGCGGCGGCAACGCACTCGGCATCGACCAAGATGAGCCACTCTACAGTAAGTGGTCCAATACTCGCTCTTCATCCCTCCCTCCTTTGAACACCCTCTGAACTCCCCTCACCCATCACATATCCAAGTTTTCTCCACTTGATCCTCCCCCTAGGCTAACGTCCACTTCTTTTCCCCCTAGTCTTCCTCGTCTCAACAGCCTGGTCCAACGCCCAAGACGACGCAGCCGTGGGAAAAATGACGGCAAACGTTCTCTCCCGCATGGAAACCTACGCCCAAGAGTCTGAGATCTCGCACCCTTACCTGTACATCAACTACGCGTCCGCAGCGCAGACGGACAAGGTCTATGCCGGGTACGGCGAGGAGAATGTGCGTCGGCTCAAGACTATCGCTCGCGAGGTCGATCCGGAAGGTGTCTTCTCGTCCGAGGGTCTCTGGCGTGGGTTTGTCAAGTTGTTGTGAGGCAAGCTCGCCTATTAAGCCGTTTGGTTTTGGCGGCCGCCAGGGGGTTATGTATCTTGTAGATACCTACACATGTCAGCAGATTGAGTCTTTTCCGCCTGTACGAAGAAGGACTAATTTCTTTTCCTTTGATCCCCGCTTGATGCCCTTAAAGGAGTCCGCTTATAGAGAACTCAGAAATCTGCCACCTGCCCAACTTCCTGAATGACTCAGGAGAGCTGCTCGTGGGCTTCTCATCTCCATTCTTGACGTCTCGTACACCCTTGGCAGGCAGATTTACCTTATCCGACACAGCACACAGCTGACCCGATGGTGACAACTCTTAAGAGCTTCTCTAGATACCTTATTTGCTTCCTGCTCCACCTTGATTGTCACGAAACCTTCCAGACCCTGCCAATTCACTTCCGTTAGGCAAGACACCTAATGGCTATCTTTTAGGTTATCTCGCATCCATATCGCGCGAAGCCTCAGGAAAAGGCGCACGACTGAGACAGTAAAAAAGCCCCGTTCCACGATGCACAGCAAGGTGTCATATGACTCACACCCAAACCAAACGGTACCAAAATGGAGGTTGATGTTGACAGGAGCACTTCGTTCTGATACCACTATGGATGCAGTCCATCAAGGAGATCATAAGAGATATCCCCCTCGCCGAATGCTAGATAAACCTAAAACCTTCCTCTGATCCGA